CCCCGGCCACCTGCCCGCTTGGCACCGGCACAGTCCCCCCGGCCACCGCAGGGCCGCTGCTGCTGGGGACGGCTGTGGGGACACGGCCAGGCAGTGAGGGGAGGGGGATCCCAGCCGGCCCGGCGGGGGGGCTGCTGGCACGGGCAGAGCTACCTGTGCAGGTGGCCCCGTCCGGGCACGGGGTGGTGGCTGTCTCGCTGGGGTTGTCACTGTCCTCCACACAAGACACGTAGGCGTCCCCTCCGGGGCCGCAGGCCTGCAGGTGCCAGGGTGCCGAGGGGCACCCCCAGAGCGAGCGGGCCCCCTCCTCGCAGCCCACCCAGGCCAGCCAGGCGGGGGCCGGCTGCTGGGCGGGGGCGGGTGCCAGCTGCCCCCCGTCCCCACAGCCCAGCTGCCGGCAGACGGCGGCGGCGGTGCCGGGGCTGGTGCCGGTGGCGCACACGCGGCCCCAGGTGCCGTTGTGGAGCAGCTCCAGGTACCCGCTGCAGCGCCCGCGCCCGCCCGCCAGCCGCAGGGAGAGCTGCTCTGCGAGGGGAGCAGGGGGGTCACGGCACGGCCAGGAACCCCCCGGGGGGCTCTGCTGCTCCCCGCCCCGGGGACACTCGACACTGACCTGAGCAGACGGCCCCGGCCCCGCGCTCGCACTCGCGCCGTTCCGAGCGTGGGCATTCCCAGAGAGACTCCTCGCTCCCGGCGCACTCAACGACGTACGGCCACGGGGTCCCCGCGCCGGGGCCGAAGCGCGCCGAGCCGGGTGCCTCCAGTGCCGCGCCACAGCCCAGCTCCCGGCACACAACGGCGGCGGCCTGCAGGTCCCAGCGCTCCTGGCACACGCTGCTCCAGGTGCCACCGGCATAGACCTCCACGCGCCCGGCGCAGCGCCCGGCACTACCCGCCAGCCTCACCCGCCGGCTGCCTGCGGGCACGGAAGGACCGGGCTGGGGGCTGCTCGGGGCACCAGCACTCCGGCCCTTCTCGGGACACGCACCTGAGCAGACTATGACCATCTCCTCAGGGTCGCTGGTTGGTGCGGGGCCCATCCATAAGCCATCAGAGATCTCCTCTGGCACGTCCTCCATCTCCTCGAGGCTCCTGGTCAGCTCGGGGCCCATCCCTGAGGTGTCGTACATCTCCGCTGTCACGATGTCCATCTCCTCCGTCACGACATCCATCTCCTCCGTCACGACGTCCATCTCCTCCATCATGTCGTCCATCTCCTTCATCATGTCGTCCACCTCCCTCAACACGACATCCATCTCCTCCATCACAACATCCACCTCCCCGGAGCTGCTGGTCAGTGCAGTGGGTGCCATACCCAAGGCTGTGTAGATCTCCTTTGGCAGGCCACAACCCAGCACAGCACACACCATGTAGACATCCCATCTCTTCCACTGCTCCACAGGCACACGGTGCCAGGCTGGGCTGGTTATGGCCTCCTCCAGCCGCCCGTCACACCGGCTCTCACCCTCCACCAGCCGCACGGAATTGATGGTGCCTTTAGTGCCTGAAAAAACACCAGCAGTGCCGTGGGGCTGTGGCACCTGGTTCAGCCCTCCCCTCATCCCAAAACAGCCCTGAGTGCTCTGCTCCCAATTCTTGGGGTGTTCCAAAAGCCCTTGGAGGCTCTTCCCACAGGTGCCACACAGACCTGAGCACTTGACGGCGGCGGTGTTCCCCGGGGTGCAGGGGGGCTCCCCCAGCACCACCACGGGGCACTCGCCCGGGTGCCGCTCGCTCCCGCTGCAGCCGAAGGCGTCCGGCCTCAGCGGCCCGTCCCCACTGCCGAAGGAGCCTCCCGGGAGCACGGTGACGGCGTGGCCACAGCCCAGGTGGCGGCACAGGACGTCGGCATCGGGCAGGTCCCAGGCGGTGGCGCAGACGGACCCCCACGTGCCCCTCACTGCCACCTCCACCCGCCCGGCACAGCCCGAGCTGCTGTTCCCCAGCCGGAAGCCCGTGTAGGCTGTGGCAGAAAGGGCGTTCAGGGGATGATGGTGGGGGAACCCCCAACACCCCCCGGTGTCCCCGGTGCTTACAGGAGCAGATGATGGTGGCGTGGCCAGCGCAGCCCTGGCTGTGGGGCACCCGCCGGGCGCAGGCGCTGAGGAGGGGCTCGGTGCCGGTGCAGTTGAACCCCCCCTCCCACACCGGCCCCATTCCTGCCCCAAACCGGCCGCTGCTGGGGATGGCCAGCGCCGCGCCGCAGCCCAGCTCCCGGCACACCACCTGGGCCACCTTCATGTCCACGTGCTCTGCACAGACGCCAACCCAGGCCTGGTGCTGCCGCACCTTCAACTGCCCGGCACAGGTTCCATCGCCCCCGACCAGCCGGGAAAACCCTGTGGGAGCAGTGCAGTGTTAGCACTGAGGGATGTGCTGGGAGTGCCGCGTCCATCCCAGCCCGGCTCCTACCTTGGCAGATGACGGCAGCGTCACAGTCATGGATACCGCTGTAGGGTCCCCAGCCACGGATCTCGCAGTCCCAGAGCGTGGCCTCGTCCCCCTTGCAGTCCACCACGGCCAAGTTGATGGGTCCAGACCCAGTGCCAAAGCGGTCGCGGGCAGCATAGGCGCCGGCAGCCGAGCCACAGCCCAGCTGCTGGCACACCACCTCGGCATCCTCCATGTCCCAGTTGTCATCTCCCACTGAGCCCCAGTGTCCCCGCAGCTTCACCTCCACCCTCCCGGCGCAGGGACCGCCGCCGCCCACCAGCCTCAGCTCCACAGCCTCTGCACCGGGACACCGGCACGGCTCAGCCCTGCCCGGCACACCCCGGCACGAGGTGGGTGCCCCGGCACGGCCAGCCTACCCCCCTCACCTGTGCAGATCACCCCCGCATCCCGCTCGTGGCCGCAGTAGTGCTGGCCCCATCCGAAGTTCGGACACTCCTCCAGCACCTCCTCGGCGCCGCGGCAGAAGAAGGGCTGGAGCCAGATCCGGCCGCTGCCCTGCCCGAACGGGGCGTACGGGGACGCCGAGGCCGCACGGCCACAGCCCAGCTGCCGGCACACCACGGTGGCCCAGCGGGCTTCCCAGTCGAAGTCGAAGACGCAGACGGAGCCCCACTCACCGTCGTGATTCACCTCCACGCGTCCGGCACAGCGCCCGCCGCCCCCCACCAGCCGCAGCTGCCCGGACCCTGCGGCACGGAGGGTCCTGAGCCGGGCCCGGCACCGGCGGGTCCCCGCTCCCACCACCCCGCCACTCACCCCCACACAGCTGCAGGCACAGCAGCAGCCCCAGCGCCCCGACCGGCCCCATCCCAGCGTCCCGCACCCCCAGCGCAGGCAGGGGATGATGTATCGGCAGCGCCGGAGCCGGTGCAGGCGGCAGCACCAGGGGAGCCTTTATCAGCTGAGGGATCGACCGGCTGCGGGGCCACGGCCTCCAATAACCTGCTTCGTGCCCAAATATGAGGCTCGGCTCCGCTTCTGGCGTCACACACCTCGCCACAGTGGGCCGGCACACAGATGTCCCCGGGGGGAGCCGCCCCCCCCCCAAGCACCTGGGCCGAGGGGGCCCCTCCTGTTTCCCCCCGTGGATCCAACTCTGCCGCTGGAGCCTGGCAAGAGCCATCCCCGCGCTGACAGGATTCAGCCCCAATCCCGCCGGAGCCTCCACGGGAGGAGCGGCACGAGGCAGAGCCCCAGGGCCCCATCCCCGGGTGCCCCCTCCCCGGGCGCTGGGAGCAGCCCCCGGCTCCCCGCGGGGGCGGCGGGTCCCGGTGCCT